TCAAAAAGCCGTTGGCATCACGCGATAGAACCAGCCGAAAACGGTATATGATCCATAAGAATAAAAATGGATGTCAATTTCGGGAGTGTTTTTGCGCCTAGTGCGTCTTTTTAGCGGTTCATAATTATACGAACACCTCAAACAAAGATCCATTTTTTATTCAAGATTGCAGTCATTTGAGTCCAAATTTTTTGTAAAGCTACAGTAACAAAGTCTGACGTGCCCGCTACACACTGAACCCAGTGCAGTTCAAAAAAAAAACCGTTACTTTTTTCAGAAGACTCTAAATGCTTCTGGAGTGATTGCGCACCAAAAACATCCGTTCTTCTGCGGTTTACGCGTTCTAATAAGCTTCTACCAAAGCTATGAGATAAAATAAGCTCTTTCGATGGGTATCTTGTTTGACGCTTAGAAAATCTTTGCGTTTTCGTGCCGTTTTTCAACCAAGTTCCAACCTTAGCATAGAGTTAGCACGATTTCGAGCCTCAAAACTCAGCTTCTCTCTCGCGCAAACATTTGATATGAAGCAGCTGCATAGTTTGCATGATGATGTTTCTGTGCCAAAGTTTTTGGGTTTTTTGTGGAACTGATTTTGAGGCTGTGGAGCTACAAACCAAATAAAGGTGTGATTGCAATAGTAAAAGCAGTGTTTTTGATGAAATGACGTCTGCGTGCCCAAAACAAACGCTCAACGCTGCTGATTTTTTTTAGCAAAATATACAGTCTTGTGAACTTCTACATACTATATGCTTACTTCATTGTACGGCTTCAGAAGCTGAGTTTTGAGGCTCAAAATCGTGCTATTCTGTGGTAAGGTTGGAACTTGGTTGAAAAACGGCACGAAAACGCAAAGATTTTCTAAGCGTCAGACAAAATACCCATCGAAAGAGCTTATTTTATCTGATAGCTTTGGTACAAGCTAATTAGAGCGCGTAAACCGCAGAAGAACGGATGTTTTTGGAGCGCAATCACTTCAGAAGCATTTAGAGCCTTCCGGAAAAAGTAACGGTCCTTTTTTTGAACTGCACTGGGTTCAGTGTGTAGCGGGCACGTCAGACTTTGTTACTGTAGCTTTACAAAAAATTTGGACTCAAATAACTGCAATCTTGATTAAAAAATGGACCTTTGTTTGAGGTGTTCGTATAATTATGAACCGCTAAAAATTCGCACTAGGCGCAAAAAACACTCCCGAAATTGACATCCATTTTTATTCTTATGGATCATATACCGTTCTTGGTTGTGCTCTTTCGCGTGGTACCAACGGCTTTTTGAGTTTCTGTCAAAAAGTCCAGAAATTTCTAAAATTTGGGGTGTTCGTATAATTATGAACCGCACTTTAGTATATATACTATATACAGTGGTCTGCAATACCACTTTTTCGGCATCTGTTTAGACTCTGAAGAAGGCGATACCGCCAAAACGTTAGTCGAATAAAGGATATACCAATCGCGGTGTCCAGCTAAACAAGCCACAACAAGCATTTGCAACATGCCGAGATTAATCGAGAGTCGAACTTGGACAATAAACAAATATTTGCGTAGTTCATAATAACAAGGAATGAATGCATCTCAAAAAGACAGAAGTTACATGAAAATCGTGTTCTTAAGCATTAACCTAATATTTGTTCTCTGAACTTATGCTAGACGAGCTTTTATTTGTACTTCCTGAACAGCAAACAACTGGATCACATCCAGATCCAATGACAACTTTTCGTCACTTTTTGATGTTGTAAATATTATGTTTCTTCCCACCTCTCTATCCAAGTAAAATGCTAAAACTTTGTCATTCGCAATTCTCAATATTATTTTGTTAGCTGAGCACCTTAGTCGTTAACAATAACCAACCATGTACAAAATTGCAGACGACGAGGAACCTAAATAACGCTTCGCAGTGTTTGTTGCGCATATCTTTGATTAACGCAAAAGTGCCCCATCTACACACCCTTCTCTACCCTTGCCCTTATTCTACATGTCCGCGTAAGAGCCGTATGCATTAGCATACGCCGGGGAGGGAATCGCAGCTCAAAAGAAAGCTTCATATGCTGAAGCTCCGAACTTCTGTTTTCAGGCTGTATATCTACCCGTAAGTATTCCTACCATCCTTCGCAATGAAAATATCTGGAGCGAGAAGCCGTACAAGCCACATTTTCCAGCTTTTTGTACGATCCCCTGATGATCCACAGCAGCTAGCCTTCTTCACTTCGAAGTCATTTATTTTTCTTCGAACTCAACGAAGAACTCCCAAAGTTGTACTGATTATCTAACCCACAATTGCTAAGCATGTTGCTGATATGAACAAATGATGTATCGAAGTCATGAAAATTGCGATCAACCACGATTCCAAAGTTGGAGTTTGTCGAAAATTCGATTTTTCAAAAACTCGTCCTTAACAGCAACATGTTAGCACTATTTGCTAGATAAACAGTACAGCTTTGGAAGGTTTTCGTAAACTTTGAAGAAAGGAAAATGACTTCAAGAAAAGACGGTCGGCCGGGGACCATCAGGGAAAACTGAAAAAAGCGACTTGCGCAGCTTCTCGCTCCTGTTCAATATGTTCATAGCAAAGGATGGTAGGAATACTTAAGGTAGACAGCGTGAAATCCAGAAGTTCGGAGATTCAGGATATGAAGCTTTCTTTAAGCTGCGATCCCTGTCCCCCGTTGGGATGTTAGTACTAGGCTGATTCAAAAGTTCTGTCCGATTTTCAATTGCCTTGTTTTAATGCAGCTATTTTATTAGGGTTTTGCGCTTATGGCACTGTCATAACCATCGTCTAGAAGTACTTTTTTTTGCTTTTCTAGTGCTTACTGATGTTTGGCGAATCAACTTTCCTGTGATAAAATTTTGAGTCCCGAAGCAAAGTTGCCAAAATGCAGTCATGCCCAAGAAAAAGTTTCCATGAAGAGGAACTTCCGCAGTATTCGCAAGACTAAATATACGATAACTTATAATGGTTGAGGATGTAATGGGCTAACATAAGCACGCTTTTCCTCCTGCGTAGAGAATGTCTGACTTTTCCATTTTTTTAAAGATGGAAGACAAACCCGGTTATTCAACAAACGAAAACAATCTACATATAGCGATGCGTGATGCATTCAATATTGCATATGTTAGAGTAAAGGGAGAGCAAGCAGGAACCATCGGCCAATCTTTTTTTATTTGCGACAGCAAGAAAATATCAAATATTAGAAAGTGGGCATATTTTCGCACGCGAAAGAGGGCTCAAATAATAGGGGGTTTTTAATTTGCTCGCAAAAATTTAGATAACTCGAATTCCCTCTAGCCGCAAAAGAACCTTTGAAGTATAGGCCCCTAATGCTGGCAGCCAAATATGTCTGTTCATCCTCATATGGAAGCATTAGTAAGTCAAACTGGGCGGTTTTGAAGAAAATCTTGCAGATGTCAGGACATGCTTTCAGGACTGCTTGTGCCAGCGAGCTAGCGCCGAGCAGGCGCAGTAGATCGATGAATTCGGGGCGCGTTTTCGTACGCTGGCACGGTACTGGCACGGCGCCAGAACGCTGGTAACTCTTGTCCCGTACTGATATTGGTCAAAGATTTCAGGACATGCCGTGATCTTGATGGGGAAGAACACCATGATCCGAAAAGCCCTCCGTGGACATTTGGGAAGGAACCCGGCGCTAGAGAAACTACTGCCTTACATCGTTCGCAATGTTGGGTTTGTCTTCACTAAAGAAGATCTGGGAGAAATTCGTTCCAAATTGCTGGAGAATAGAAAGGTATGTTGAAATAACAACACTTTTCAATATGGGCACTATTCTACTTTACACAAACCCCAAAATGCAGAATTCGCTGAACACACAGTTCCTCGAAGGGCTGATAATCTATGCTAATCATTCCGGTCCTTTTAGCGGATTACGGTAGGTATATGGCACAGGTATGAAATCTCAGATTCGCCGGGAAATATTGTATAGACGAATTATCTGAAATGTTAACCATCAGTATCATATCCATTTGTTAAAGTAATCCCCACTGTAAGACTTAGGTTCAACCCCATACCATATATCTACCGTAATCATATCATAACGCACCGCGTGGGAAATGGATACGGTCCATGGTCAGCACGTTAACCATCCCCTATGGTGGCAACAGATTTTTGAAATTTTTACACCATGTACACCTGCGCTAACCCGCAGAAAGGCCTTACCATGTCAATAAACACCTTGTGATGAGTACGTCAACACTTGCGTACAAAATTCAAGCAAAATGTGGAATTTTGTTTTTTCGGTTATGTAAGGTGAAATTTTATGTGCAGGGCATTGTGCTATGAGTCTTCATTTATTTATGAATTTGTATTTTGAATTACCATGTCGATTTAACTCAATTTTTTAGGGTGCTCCCGCCAAAGCTGGTGCAATTGCACTGCGATGTGAAGCTGCCTCCTCAGAATACTAGTATGGGTCCCGAGAAGACCTCTTTCTTCCAAGCTCTACAGATCCCTACCAAAATCGCTAGAGGGACCATTGAAATCTTAAGCGAAGTCCACCTCATCAAACAAGGAGAAAAGTTGGAGCTTCCAAAGCCTCTCTGCTTAACATGCTTGGCGTAACACCCTTCTCGTATGGACTTGTCGTTGTGCAGGTGTATGATAATGGTACCATCTATTCCTCCGAAGCGCTCGATATAACCCCCAAGGAGCTGCGCAAGCGCTTTATGGAAGGAATTCGCAACGTTGCCGCCGTTTCACTTGCCATCAAGTACCGACAGTGGTATCTGCTGCTCATTCGCTGGCCAGAGGACTGCAGAACATGTTCGCCATCGCTGCTGCCACCAATGTCAGTTTCAAGGAAGCGGATCAGCTCAAGGAAATGCTGGCCGACCCGAGCAAGTTCGCCACCGCCGGTGCAGCGGCACCAGCCGCCGGCGAATCTGCTCCTGCCGCACCTGCTGCGGCTGCAGAAAAGAAGAAGGAGTAACCGGAGGAGAAGTCCGAGGAAGAAGATTTTGGCTGTGGCCTGTTTGACTAATCATTTTGAAAACATTATCAACTTGCCGCTTTTGGTTACATCCAGTAATTCAATATTTCGTCCGCCCGTGTAGCCTTTGTACTAAGCGAAATGATTCTATTTTGATGTCAGTATACATTCAAGTTGGTCACCTTAAAGCATCGGCACCGTTGTAGTCCTTGATTGATCTAGAACGCTAAACCATGACATATTCTTGCGATATTATAGCTATGCTCCTGCCTGAAGTCCTCTTCCTAATCGTTTGCGTTGTTTTGTTGAAAAGTAATAAAGCTAGCAATTGTAAAGTATAGATATTTTTTTGCGAAGCTCTGGCGTTTTGACAGATATGAATGCTCAAAAAAAAGATGATTGATTGATGATTGCGCCGCCGAACGCTCGGTTGCTGTCATCTGCTGCTCTTTCAGGCGGTCGTCAGTCGACTCAAAATTGCTGCAACGGATTTTCTTACTGATTTTTGTTCTACTTCGAATACCATGCAACGCAATCAAAGTTGAGCCATCAGGTAGCGAATTGAGCGATAGCGCAAAGCAATACCTTCTCTCATTCAAAAAAATAAAATATAAAAAAATGGCCATACGTGCGGACTGATTCTTAATCCAAAGGCACCATTCGACTCGGCTCGGCGTGGCGCATCTTCTGATATAAAAAAGCCCGTTTGGGCACAGTAAAAGATCAGATTAAATTAATCGTTTCAGATTTTTGCTTACGGTAGGTCGCCCAGCTAGTGCAATGACTAAGCACACTGATTAACCCACCGTAAGCAGAAATCGAAACGATTATTGGAATTTGACCTCCTACTGTGTCCAAGTGGACACTTCTATACATCAGAAGATGCGCCGCGCCGAGCTGAGTCGAATGGTGGCTTCAGATGCAGAATTCGTCCACTCTGAAGCGAGATATGGCCACGCGACAGTGATGTTCATACATGATGCGACATTCGCGTCTTTTTCAAAAAATGTGAGCAGTATTGTATGTCGCTGGATAAATATGAAGCTCGCCTCTTATCTTAAGACTTTTTCATGAGTTATGCTAAGGAAAGCGCGATAATGTTTTTTTCTTCAGTGTTCTAGAATGTGATTAAATTACTCGAAACCTCTAAAAACTCATAAAAAGTTGTACAGTGAAATTAGCATGTCTCAGAAGACCGATACACAACTTCCCAGAGTTTTTTTGAAGTTTTTTTGAACGGGCTGTTTCTCAATAGCGCTATATGCTGTAAATTCCTAGTGTAATCCTAGTAACGAGGGATGATGACTGACTCGCTCCATACTGCAAATCTAAATTGAAGCTTGCTTTACTGAATCCACTTAAAGCTAAGCAAAACTTCTTAGGACGGGAGCTGCTAACGATTAAAGAGTGTGCACTTACATTTGGGACACCCTGTATAATATGAAAGTGCAATTTGGAAATAATTTGTATTTAGCTTATTTCTGTGTTTCTTTGTAATTTCGTCTTTGAAATAGCTTTAGCCTTTTTGCTCAGCTGCATTCAGTTCCCTTTTCTCCGAAATGTCAACTCTTTTCCGAAAAAGAAAGAAATTAACAGGAAAGTCGGCTGGAAGGCGGGGATTCGAGGCCTAATTGAGGCTAGGGAGCGATTAAGAAGCACGTACGCGTGAGAGACGCTGACTGCGTTGCGGATGCGAGGGGTCACCTTTCAACCGCCAATCCCGTTGAATGGGTAAGTTTTTGAGTGGAGCAGCGAGCGTTGGAGTATTGGGATGGCAGCGGTCGAATTCACGGTTTTTTGCAGTTGAATATTATGGACCCAAGCTTAACAACCATTATCAAACTAGCAATTTTTCTACTTTGAATTTATGAGTTCAGACTGTACAGAAATCATTTATAATTTATAATAACCACATCCAAACAGTGTTCCCGCATTTACATCTTCGGTTTTGAGCGGTCTCTTGACTGCTTCGGAAAGAATGGAGGAACTTCGAAGAATTGCCTGAATGTACGGTCTACTGCTTGTGATTATCAATTGTTTCAACAAAAAATTTTTCAGTAGTAACAATATTCACAATATCCTATCATTAAAAGTAACAAAACAAAATACATAATTACCTCATATCGGTGCCTTCTCCTTCTTGACTGCTCTGCCTCGGATCTAGATGCAGAGGTACTCCGAACATCTTTGGAATGGCCCACGTTGGTCCTTCGCTGGCCATCTCACGTGGTGAGGGTGAAACTGAAGAGGAGGATGAGGAGCTGTCTCGCTTTCTCGGCTTCTCTTCTCTGTTCTTCGATTTCGTCTTCTCCCGGCCTCGCGAGTTGCTGGACGACTTATATTCGTTGCTTGTTCCTTCATCATCTTCATGGTGCTGGAATATCTCTCCAGAAGGAATACCAAACTCTTTGACGCGCTCCTGGATTGACTGGAATGATTGAAAAAACTTCTTGTAATCTTCTTCACTTGGCGGGTCGTTTTTGCCGATTTCCACGGTGAATGATCTGTAGCTAGACATTATGAATAGTAATAGAAGGTGCTGTCACTGTAGCAAGGAGTCGCTATATACTCTATCAGGGAAGCGAAAAAGTGTCCCAATGGGAGGACTATGTACCCTGACTCATTCGAGGTCACGATTGGACACGAGTAAATAAAGCAGGAAAAAATTATCTTTGTTAAGTGTTTCTAATTAAGGCACAATATCCGCTTCAATTGACGTCATACAAAATTTATGTTTAAGTGGTAGTTTTGTCAACACGGGACTTATAATACACTTTTTTCACAAGAAAGTCTTCGGTAGAAAATTAGCTAGATTGCTGCTATTATTATCATCTGCGGAGAAATCACGATGAAGTTGAAGTACTTGTACTGGATGGCTGTTGTCCATATAAAGATTGCCAACGAGTAATCGTACTTTTATCTTGATTCGTGGCAGGATCTGTTCTAGAGTTTGCATTATGGGGCATGCGTACTTGATGATATGAGATGCCTTTGTTTTTGAACCAAATCGAACCATCTTGGGACAGTATAGGAGCATACAGCTATAAAATCGTAATTAAGATCTTCAAGCGGATTTCGCTTTTTTCATCGAAAATGTTTTTGAACGAATGACAGCAAAATATAAGAAATTTTTGTAAAAGATAAGCTTCACTTGCCCTGCATAATGAATGAAACCATTCAAAATCAAAGGGGACTCTAGCACACTACCCGGAATGTGTGGCATTCACGTGGTTTCCCATTTTATTTGTCTGAATCGTCTTATACTTGGAATGCTTCAAAAACTATAACTTCCAAAAGTCTCTATAGTAAAAGCTAATTCCTTCGGAAACTTGCTGTTCGCAACTTTAGCTTTTTCGCAACCCCATACAATCAAAATCTTTTCATCAAGTCAAGACACTGCATGAGTAATTCTGAACCAAGGTTTGCAAATTTATGGTTCAAGAAGCTGCAAAGAAATAGTATGCAAGACAAAAAATAGTTTGTTTATTAGTAGTTTCAAAGTGGGGTGAATCACCACAGTAAAAAAAACCATGCCACTTTTCGTGCAGAACATAATTGGCCGTCGTGCACAGATACTGACAGAAAAGAGGAATGGAACGTGGAAGAGAGAGAGTTCAAAGGGATGGTCATCTACTTGGGAACATCAAAACTTCATTTATAAATTTGTACTTGCTGCAGTACACAAACTTACAATTCTGAGCAAATCCTGTTTCCAGAAATCAATCATGAAAACACGAAAATAACGAAAGACCAGTGGATCGTCGCAACGCATACGGATGAAAGCCTTCGTGGCACGACCACAATGCTAAGGTAAAAAAAGAATTCATTTTTCGTTTAAGGATTTGAGGAGACGCATAAAATGCCGCCGAGCATGAGCGCTTGCAACGGCTCGAAATGTACGACTTTGACTTTCTCCATGACCAGATATCCTAGAAAGAAAACAGCACACGAGGTCATGTGCAGGCAATTTCAATTCAACACTTGCTAATCAAGCCGTTGCCCATGTTTGGAACTTCGTTCGTTTGATAAAATCAACGTCGAATTGTCGACCACTATTATAACCGATTTCATTGATGGGTCAGAGTATGATACTAGTAGAAAGTTCGAGTTTGAAGTGTTTGGCTGAGTAGTTCGTAGCTAAAAAATCAAAGATTTGAAACATTGTCAGCCCTGCGAAAGCTCAGAAGGCGTTTCCGGGTAGAGGAACAAACACCTCAATTAGGCACCGCCTCCGCGGACTACTGGTCCCAACGCGATGCACCACATAAGACGAAAGGACCAGCAGCCTGCGGAGGCGGTGTCTAGTTGAGGTGTTCGACCCTAGACAATGATAGCACCGCCTTTTTCTGCTGAACGTGTGCAATTCTTGCTATCATTGTCTAGACAGGAGGCTGAAGGAGTGCCTTGTCAGTTCTTCTACGTGCTTCATCTCAAATGTATGTTGTATTATTGGTTGGAGGAGTGGATGCTAAGACAATTCTATAATAATTTCTCATCTGTTTAGGCTTCTACAGTTTGCAGGTGTTGTTCATAAATCTGAATGTGTTCCCGTCTCCATGTGGCAGTCGACGAAGATATAGTATGTGTCGTTTATCGAACGAGGAATAAAAACTGCATTCGTCAGCGTTCGAACGGCGCTCAACAGCATTTCCGCACGTAGTTATCTTTTGCACTTTCATTCGATACCATAGTCAAGTACCCTCTCTTCATATTTGACTTCTTGTGATCTTCCATGTCTATGTTTCAATTTGTCATTTACATTCTCATTGTCGCCTGCTATAACTTCTTATCTTCCATCGGGCCCTTAAGTGAGTCATGGTACAATACTACTTTTGGTACAAACAGTTTTTTGACTAGTGCTTATCTCGAGGGAAAATGTTTTCTGCGTGTTTGGATGTCAGCGTTATGAAGCAGTTTTTTTTGAGCCTCTAACAACCACAGACGGTGACGAGGCATGTTTGAATTATTCTAAAAATTGTGACGACGAATTCGACCACGGTCCTTGCGCCCACTTTGAGCATAAAGGCTCATGCAAAAAAAATCACCTCAACGCTCACTCAGCTCTCACTTCATTCAAATACGATCATAAGTAAGCAAAGAAAACATTCGAGTAGAGACGAAAACCAAGAAAATGCGGTTATCGGAGGTGCGTGCGTGTCGTGCGCGGTCGCGTCATTGTCACGATTTTTCGAATGCCCTATACACTCGCAGCGTCAGTAATCAACTCATCAGTGCATTACCTCGATTTCACCATAAAGAATCAAAGCACGCTACGCGGGTAGTTCAAAAATTTGACGAGACATTCACGTAGACCGTAAAAACATTACTGCATTGTAATTAAGATTGAATAATGATATTCTTTAGCTAGCCTACTATCGAAATCAAAAAGTTTGCCATTTTGTTGCGACGGACTTACACTTGCTTAAGAATTCCTGCGACTCTAGAATATTTTCTATTTAAGTGCTGTAGAAGCTCTAATTCTTTTAACTCATCGATCAATTTTTTTGAAGATTTACGACACGGCTGCTTCTCTCTATCGTCAAAGTAATTTCTCAGCATAAAAGAATTTGAATATATGAGTAGGACCAATATAAACACAGCACAATATTTTGATATAACATCGATCTTTTCAATAAATGGCGTGTAGACAGATTTAGAGACAGGATACCCCTAACCTTTTTAAATTATTTAGGCTTACAAAATTAGGAGTGCATACGTTCCTATATCAACAGTTCGCAATCACTTCATCATTCCTACGTTCAAGATGAATTAGATGAACTATAATTCTCATTTCAACAAGGGAGGGTCACGGGGTTGAAGTGACCGATTACTACAAAGTACATTTTTCAGTGAGAGCTTGGGATGCTTCCAAATCTGCTTGTCTTATCTGCAGAGCGCCATTGGGAAAGAAGTTATTAGTATTTTTAGGCAGAAAAATGACTCGATGGCCAGGACAAATTCATTCGCTACTGCCTCGTTAGACCTCAAATAAAGCAGTGGCAAGGTCGAGACACATCACACAACAAACTTCTTCTGCGTAGTATGTGAGTACTTCCAATTTCTCTATTTAACGTTTAGAAAGGCAGAACAATTGATTTTATCCCGACAATTGGTAGACAGCGTTCCAAGGTCTCACTGATGGTATGTAGTTTGAAGTGATCGGCCACTTCGAGTTCGTAACCCTCCTTTGTAAAAAACAAAAGAAAATGAGTTTAAGCAATGCTGAACGGTAGTTTGTTTCGTAGTATGTCGGGACATTAAAAGCTTTTGATGTTTTCCTTCTCCTTTGTGTAAGCATCGAACCTGTAATAAGGAAGAGTATACACCACCAAAATAGCATCATTTCGCAAGAAGCCATTTTTCAAATCATATTCAAACGTTTTCCAGTCTTTATCCTCGTTATCTCACGGCTCACTGCTAGAACTATCATGATCATGATCTCGTTTTTGTGCGGAACTTCAGGGACAGTTTATGTGAATACAAAGGGAAACGCTTTCAATAACTTTTGTCTTCGTAAAAAATTTGAGAAACGAGTTACTTCCACGGAATAATTTTTGTGAGACAGAGTAAATGTGTTTCATGGATCTTTTGACCTGCTTTACCTTGTTTGGACCGTTTTTGTGCGTAGTTGCTACGTTATAACATGTTCGAGCTTGTAAGGTAACTTAGGGTTATACAACGTGCAGTCAGACTTTTTTCGGTTCGTCTTTAAAGGCAGTGTCTCATCAAAATTTAGTTGTCGAGTTTTTTCCATTTTGCAAGCCTGTCGGACCCTATCCAGCACTGTATGGGCCTAAAATCGCACGAAGTTCCCAAAAACCCCGTTTTCTGGAGGCCCCGCGGAAGCAAGGTGGACGAGTTGTACCTTCCAACTTCAGCCTCAGCCACAGTGGCAGCAATAGAGGGGAGGTGGATGCCAAGTGGAGGGACATGTTCAAACGCGTAAAGGGGGAGACCGAAGGAGTCGTCCGCGCGTACCAAGTCGCTCTCCGCGTACCACTTTGAGCGAATTTTTTTCAGCGTGGAGGGGGTCAAATTGAGTGGTACTTGTTGCAATGGCCTATTTAGAGGTCCCTGTAATTGAATATGTGAAGATCCGCGCGACCTCAACTGGTGAGACACTGCCTTCAAAACGTAAAGCGCACGATCCTTAATTCACCACGATGGTTAGGGAAGACAGAACGACCTGGAAGGCAAACTATTTCCTGAAGTTGATCAAACTATTTGACGAGTATCCCAAATGCTTCCTGGTAGGAGTTGACAATGTTGGATCGAAGCAAATGCAGGAGATTCGTCAGGATATGCGAGGTGAACTTTTTTCTTTTCAAAGTTGAGTATTTTTGCATCGTCTAGAACTGCTTTTGCCAGCACGGAGCTAGCGCCGAGCCAACGCCATCAAGCGATCAATACGGGGAGCATTCAAGTGCGCTGGCACGGCACTGGCACGGGCCGTTACGCTGTAACTCTTGACGCTCCTTACTGACATTGATCAGAATGTTTTGGACATGCTGTCATCTTAATGGGGAAGAACACCATGATAGGAAAGAACCCTGCGCTAGAGAAACTTCTACCTTACATCGTCCGCAATGTTGGCTCTGTCTTCACTAAAGAAGATCTGGGAGAAATTCGCTCCAAATTACT